TAAAATTCGAAAGAAGAATCAGGCAGGGAGACACAATATCACCAAAATTGTTCAATCAGGCTATGGAAGACATATTTAAAAAATTAGAATGGTATACATACGGAATAAGAATAAATGGAGAGCTCTTGAACCACTTGAGATATGCAGACGATATAGTCCTGATAACAGATAAGAAGGAAGAGTTACAGAAGATGGTTGAGGAACTATACCTTATTCCATTAAGCGATGCAGGGCATATAAACAACGATACATTTAACAGATAATTGTTAAAGATGTTCCAAATGAGTCTACTCGTTCCGATAAGTAACAGTATAATTATGACACTTTATTATTTTTTTTCTTTTCTCAAATATTCATGTTTATTGCATAGCAAATAAATTAATGTTATCACTGAACACATAGTAAGTGAAAAAATAATCCGATTTATAAAATTAATGAATATTTTATGCATAAATGCAAGTAACAGTTCTTCAAAAATATTTAAAAACTAACCGAAATGTCCATCTTTATTTCGTCTGCCGACGTTTTCGGTAGCTCATACCGGTTCGGACACGATTTAATGTTTACATCTTCCTGCATCGCTTAATGAATTTTACTATAGATAGAAAAGCGACAGAGGTAGGTCTAGAGATGAACTATAGTAAAACCAAGACTATGACAAACCAAGAAGACCAATTAGAAATAGTAGTCAAACAGAATAAATTAGAGCAGGTGGCAGAATACATATACCTAGGACAGATAATAAAGCTGAACAGGGACAATCAAACAGAAGAAATAAAAAGAAGAACTAGACTAGCATGGGCATCATTTGGTTAACTAAAAAATAAAAAGTTCCTTCAATATATGCGAACGAAAAGTATTCAATCAGTGCATTTTACCAGTTATCACATATGGCCCACAAACATGGACTTTCACAAAGGAAAACTTCGACAGGATATCCAAAACAGAAAGAACAATGGACAGACAGATGCTGGGTATCGGTCTTAAAGACAGGAAAAGAAACTCATAGATCGGAGAAAAACAAAGGTGAACGATGTATCAAGACAGGTTGCAAAACTTAAATGGAACTTCGCCGGTCACACTCTCCGGCAAAAAGATGAAGGATGGAATAAGCGAATGCTACAAACAGAGTAGTAAAGACGGCAAGAGATGGTTCCCCAATAGGAAGACGATCAGTAAGAAGACCACAAAAACGATGGAACGACAACTTACTGGAGGTACATTGAAAAACAGACATAAGCCAGTAACATAGTCATTGCTCTAGGTCGCCATTTTAAGTGGAATATTGGGGATGGTAGATAGAGTTATTCTAAAGCACAAACCCAATGATTAACCAATATATTATTACAGCAACTATGTCGCATCTAATTAGGATTTAAAAATAAAACTCGTATAACTAAAAATGATTATTTTTCAGCCTGGAGATTATCTTAAATAAAATCAGTCACACAAAATTCCATCGAAAACAATTGAAATTTTAAACGTTTACAATTGTTGTCCCCTTATTTGTGTCTATCTAGCGGACACCATGCGCACTAAATTTTAAAAAAATCAACTTCACTTATTGTCCTCCAGTTCTACATAATCTATTTTATATATCTACTTTTTTTGATTAGTTATATTATACTATAGTGTATTATTAGTACATCTATCTAAGACGCATATAACCTTAACCTAATCATCTGCATAAATGATTATAATGGAAGCCCAAAAAAACAAAGATTTTAATTGAAATTTTTCATTTTTACGATAAAATAATAAAAATTACAAATTGCTGAATGACTTTTTTTGGAAATGGTTACAATTACTCATTGTTATCATAAAATAACATATTTGGAGGCATTTTTAGTATCATCATATTCCTACAGATTAGAAATGGGTTAGTTATCAAAAAGTGTGTATTGTTGGTTGCCTATCTTTCGGATAAATTTTACAGCGCCATGATAGTAAACGTCCACGAATTGTCATCTATGGATTAAAAAATAATTTAATTTCAACATCCAATCTTCTGCAGTATTTATGATATCGTTGCTTTTATATCTTCAATTTGTTAACTCTTGTTCTAATAATCTATTGTCCAGCATAATAATATTAAGGTGTCACAAAAAAAAAGTTCATGAGGTGAAATTGGTGCGTTCATGGCCTGCGAATTTTTTTATTTGTTTGAATTCTTCGATTTAATTTTTTCAATTTCCTAGGAATATATTGACCGGTATAATAATATCAAGCATTTTTGTAAGTTGTATGGTGGAGTGAATATTCATTGCCTTTAAAGAATGATTCTTTAGTAAAACGCGTTTCAGCTATGAGTCACTCATGACCATTTTTTTATGTAGGGGTCACATATGGCGGAATATACCAGACATTTAGAAAAAAGTAGGCAGAACTCTTGAACAAACTAAATGTATAAAGTTAAGTAGTGACAGTAAGTTAGTACACGTCGCAGCTACAAACTATAAACTTTATTGCAATAAGTATGTTTTAAACCGCACATTAGAGTTTTTGGGAACTCTCCAGCAATTTTTAAGTTTCGGTCAACGGTACTATGGGATGGTAACTGGCGGGTATGACTGCCAATCATACTGTCGGCTTGACCTTGCTGTGTTTAGCTTGTTCTTGGCTTACAATTTGAGATAATTGAATCGGAAGCGAATTAAGTATGTTATATGGGTGAAGTTTTTGAAGCAATTGGCATTAATAAAAACTATAAATAAAAGTAAATACAATTATAAAAAATAGAGAAACGAGTGGATAAGAGAGAAAACAAAAGTAAGGAATGTTAGACAAGAAGTTGCAAAATTAAAATGGAGATTCGCCGGACACAATATAAGACAAAAAGAAGACCGATGGAACAAAATTCTTATAAGTTAGAGACCGTGGGAATATAAACAAAGCAAGGAAGGCCCCAAATGAGATGCATAATATCAAGAAGCACGTGGGTTCTAGGTGGATGACTGTAGCGTCAGACAGAGAAGAATGAAAAGGATTGGGGAGGCAAAGATGGACCGAAGAAGGCTAATTAGATAGATAGATAAAAATTATAAGAAATTATAAAAAATTAATTCTTATTGTGTCTGTACATAATTCTTCTTAGAGCGACAGATGGCTTCTAATTGCACAATATAAAGAACAACCCTGTGATACCATTAGATGTTGTGGCTGTGCGCAACAAATGCTCTTTCTACATTAGCAACTTCTCTAACCCGCTATAGTAGTGTCGAATGAAGGTTTTTTTGAATAATTCATATTTTTTTTGTAGAAATTATACTAGTCCGTCCATCTTTATACATTTGTATTAACTATTTCGATCTTTTTGATAAAGTTACAAGCTATAAATAATTTCCATTTATTTATGAATGTTTTTCAGAATTACCAACCCTAAAATTGCCTTTATTTCCAGGGTATATAAGTATTTTAATGTTATTATATACAAAAAGGTTTCTTTTACAATAATCTTTGCGTGCCACTGGTAAGATTTATGTTTCACTATTATACGATGTTGCCTTATCTTTTTGAATGTAGTATAGTGTCGGAAAATTTAAAAAGTTCCCATATAAAGACAACTAGCAGTAAGCCTAAGTAGTAGACTCGTTTTGGTGATACTATTGTCATAGGTTACAAGATAATTCAAAGATCAATAGGAAGAAAGGAGTCCAGGCTAAAAAATTGTGGGAAACAAGGGTTGTGTGACACATTACCAACTTCATAGCTTACCTTTGTCCGAAAAGTCTGTCGCTAGAATTACGGCTCTGCAGCACGTGTAACTGTATACAATCTTCTTAGAGCGACAGGCGGCTTCTAGGTGCACAATATTGATTAACAACAGGTCTGTGATGCCCTTAGATGTTCGGACGGTACGCAACAAATGCTCTTTCTACACTACATCCCTTATAACCTGGTAAAGCTTCCTAGAGCTTGGGAGGAATAATTGTACTATTAACGAACAACTATTAGTAAGCCCAAAATATACATTGGCGGCCCAATAAGTACTTAGCCTACAAAGGAAAATTTTGGTGAAGTGGTGATTCATTTTAGCCCATTTTCTGCTTTGACTCACATTTTAGCCAGACGAGCGACTTTTTTATATCTCCAAAAAAAAAGAAGTCGTATGGGTCAAATCTGGAGAATACGCTGGAGGGGGCAGTAGTTCCTAGCCCAATTTGCAATGGTAACGGTGTAGGAGTGAGCCGGTGCGTTGTCATGGTTTTTTCTTCGCCAAATAGAGCCATTTTTTCTACAATTCGACCCATTAATTCGGCAAAGTCACAGTTTTGTCCTTTTCCAGATAATCGATTTAGATCACACCTTGTGACTATCAGAAAACGGTGGCCATCACCTTTCTGCTAGATAAGTCTGTCCCCGCCTTCTTTGGAGAACGTGCGCCGGATGAAGTCCACTGCTTTGATTGTTCCTTGGTCTCTGGTGTGTACCAGTCGATCCATGTTTCGTCGACGGCCATGAAAAGACGTGAAAACTCCTGCGGATTGCACTGAAACAGCATTAAATACTGCTCTGAAATGATCTCACGGTTGCACTTGTTGTCCTCATTGAGCAAACACGGCACCTCTCGCACCACAGCACTCTCATGACCAAAATTTCATGCAGGATATGACCCACGCGGTGTTTTGAGATGCGTACTGTCTTAGCGCATCTTCAATCGGCAGTCTGCCAACTCTGTGGTAGCAGTTTTCGAGTTAAAAAAGCGTGACTGATCAAAAATCAACGTGCGCCCACGTTGAAACTCGTTAAATCAATTTAGTTAAGATAGTAGATTTCTCTTGAGATAGTGGCGCCATCGAACGATGAGGCTAAGTACTTATTGTAAACTTTCTTTGGTTATACTATCGTCGTAAGTTACAAGATAATTTGAAAATCAATAGAAAGAAGAAATTGACAATGGTTTAAGAGCATCGTTAATCACATATTTAGATCAACGGTGTGAAAAATATGCACAGCATTAATGATCAAAGACCGCATTTAAAGAATAGATCAAACTTGAAACTATTGAAACTATTTATTCATCTAAATTACAGGACCATATTAATCAATTTACAATCTAATTATAGTAACTTAAATTAAAATCCTTTAGCCGCCCACCAGAGGCATCGTGACAGTCAGAATCTGGAAAATAAAATGCTGAGACATTATCAACTTCATAAAAATTCACAGCTTACCTTTGTTGACTTATTGAAGTCTGCGGAACAGGTCTTTTGCTTCACAATATATGGTATAAATACGTCTAAAAGATATCCTCGAGTTTTGGATTCCAAAAGAATGCGATCTTCACCAACATCAAGCGTGAGCTCTTTTATCGATATCTAAAAAGGGGAGAGGGTATTAGTTTTCCGTCATTTATTTTGTTTTGTACTATACATATGAACTAGATTACTAAGAAGTAAACTTAGGACACTGATACACTATACGCTTGAACGCCAGTGCTCAGTAGTGGTAGAATATCGGCGGGATCTTTCATATTGATGAGAAACACAAGAAAGAATAGATACAAAACAACAAAAAAGAAACATGGAAAGTACTCTCCAAAAATAGCGCCATTTGGTGGCTGGCTCCATAGCCGCAGAAGAGATAACCCAAAAAGGTATAGCCGGGAAAACTATAATAATTATACTAACCTTGAATAAACCACGTGTCACATCAGGGAGTAATGTAGTGTCACGAGTCACTAACTCAAGCTTCGGATGGTAATACCATCATCCTGAGGTAGGTTAAAGGACAGAATAGGAATAAAGGCAACCGCATTGCTGATCAATTGGCTAGGAAGGATGTAGACTTGTCAGGGTAACATTAAGTAACATTGAAAAATCATCATCAAAGAACTAATTGGGAATGACCAGGAAAAACCTACGCTTGACAGTTGGTTTTTTAACTGCTCATTGTCAACTAAGCGAACACCCCCACACACTGGAGCTAGTAGACACATATCTATGCAGGAAGTGTGAACGAGAAGGGAGATGTGCCCTGGTGACTTATTCACCTTCCTAGAAATGGCAGGACCCTACTCTACAGATACAGATCAAATTTAAGAAAATAAAAAATTAGAGAAAATATAACAATTAGCTAAATGACATATTAGAACGGCTCGAAAGCCATATGAATCACAGAGAAACAAGAAAGATCTATCATCAAATAAATATTATTAGAAAAGAATTCAAACCAAGAATCAACTACTGTAATGATAAGGAAAGTAACTTACTTACCAACAAAGAGGATGTCCTTTTACGATGGGTAGAGCACTTTCAAGAGTTGGTGGAAGGGGAACCTACTACCAATATAGAGCTGGAACCCCCCTCGGTAGATGAAGTGAAAATATCTAAGAAAAACTAAGGAACCACAAATCCCCAGGTAGCGATGGCATCCCAGCAGAGTTATTTAAGCACGGTGGAGAGCAGCTCACCAAGGTGATGCGAGAAATTGTTTGTAACATTTAGTCCGAGGAGCAAATGCCTAAAGAATGGAGCTTCGGCTTAATTTACCCGTTACACAAAAAGGGAAACCAACTGGATTGCAATAATTACCGCGGAATAACTCTCCTATAATACAGCATACAAGATATTGCCAAACATTTTGCACGAGAGATTAAAGCCTTATACCTAAATGTTTCTAGGAGAATATCAGGCAGGATTCAGGCGTGGACGTTCAACCACTAACCAGATCTTTACACTAGCACAAATCCTCGAAAAAGCGCAAGAGTTTAACATAGATATGCATCATATTTTGTTGATTTTAAAGCGGCATATGACAGTGTCTTAAGACCAAGTCTATACAACGCTATGAATGAGTTAGGAATTTGAAAAAAACTCATATGTTTGATAAAAGTGACAATGGCGAAGACGCTATCAGCAGTAAAAATTCAAAACGACTCGTCAACCCCATTTGAAATAGATAGGGGATTAAGGCAGGGAGATGCACTGGCGTGTCAGCTTTTTAATGTCGCCTTAGAAAAAGTTGTACAAGACTCTAATTTAGATAGCAGGGGAACAATATTTAATAGATCAGTCCAAATTCTAGCATATGCAGACGACATGGACATTATAACATGAACCAGGGTGAGAACTGCCAAAATCCTAACCGAGCTAGCAGCAGCAGCACAACGAATGGGGTTACATATAAATCAAAATAAAACCAAATTCATGGCGACTAACACAAACACAAGAGCTAGAAATGTTGACGCAAATTTAATCATCTTCTTCTTCATGTGCCTTGTCCGTTCCGAACGTTTTCAATCAACATGGCTATTCTGATTTGTTTAAGGCAGATCTGAATAGTTCAGCAGATGACAATCCGAACCATTGCCGCAAGTTTTGGAGCCACGAGTGTCTTCTCCTCCCTGGACCTCTTCTGCTGTCTATTGTCCCTTGAACGATCAGCTGTAGTACTCTATATTTATTATGCCTCATAACGTGACCCAAGTATTCCAACTTTCTTTTCTTTATACTTATTCCTACCTCTCCATGTTTGGTTGATAATTACAGGCCAATCACCGTAACAAGTGTACTCCCTAAGATTATCGAAAAGTGTATTTATAGTAAAATGTTAAATTTTCTGAATAAATACGATATATTAAATAAATGCTAGCATGGGTTTCTTCCTAATAAATCTACAGAGAGTGCTTCTATTTCATTATTTAATTATATCCACGCTGCTTTGGATCAAAAAACGTATGTGGGTGCACTCTTTTTTGACTTAACTAAGACTTTTGACTCTATTGACATTGCAATTATACTGCATAAATTAGAAGCCCTTGGTTTTCGGGATTATTTCTTGAACTGGTTAAGGTCATACTTACAACATCGTAAATTCCTAGTAAAAGTCGATAATAAGAAGTCATCTGTTTTTAATCTTGATCGAGGTGTACCGCAAGGCTCCGTATTGGGACCCCTAATATTTCTTTTATATGTCAATGATTTGATACATTTTTTAACTGCAGTTACTATGCAACTATTTGTATGCAGTTCTACTCGCGCTTTTAAGCCATCCCATGGTTATAAAATCACAGTTAGTTCTGAGGAAATACCTTTTAGTGATAAAACATTATTTCTTGGTAGCATTCTAGAAAGTAATATGACACAGGATGAAAATGTCACTAAAGTCTGCAAAACAATGAATAAGGGTTACTATGCGATCCTTCAGTTGAAAACTTTATTTAACACCAATCAATTGATAAGTGTGCATTATGCATCGGTTTATTCATATATGGCCTATAATGTTATCTTGTGGGGAAACTCTAGAAACTCTTCTAGAGTTTTTATAACTCAAAAGAGAATTCTTAGATTGATATTCAATATTAATAATAGACAATCATGTCGTAAATATTTTATTGAACACAGGCTGTTGACTTTTCATGCTTTATATATTTATAAGTGTATTATTCACGTCAAAACTAAATTTCAAAATTTTACCCTCAACTCTGACTTTCATAATTACCCGACAAGACACGGGAGGTTGATAAGCGTGTGTAAACACTCCACAACTCTCTTTGAAACTAGTCCTGATTTTTCAGGATCTAAATTTTATAACTGTTTGCCACTTAATATAACAAATGAAAACGATATTCAAAAATTCAAAACTAAATTAAAAGCATGCTTGATCCAATTATGCGTTTTACAACCTAAATGAATATTTTGACTTAATAAAAGACTACAGAGAATAAGGACCGACGGGTTCAGAGACGCTCTATATTGCATTATCTTTGTTTTTTTTTATTTTTATATATTAATCTATATTTTATTGATTTTGTTTTATGTAATTGTCCTATATAACTTGTTGATCATGCTTTATGTACTATATGACTTGTCCTATATCACAATGTGATCTGATGGGATTAATAAATTATATTAATAAATATATATTTATTAAATATTCTTCGATTAATAAATAATATTCTTCGTTGGTCACGTGCTCAGTCTAGGATATACATAATATACGTGGGTAAGCCCACATTTCGAAGGCCTCTACTTTTTTCATCAATGTTGCGGTCATTGTCCACGCCTCCATTCCATATAACAAAATTTAATCATTAATGACCAAAACTTCGAAACAGTCAAAGAGTTCATATATCTAGGGACATCGGTTAACTCCAATAATAACACATCTGAGGAAATAAAAAGGCGAATAAAAATTGCAAACAGGTGTTATCAAAGTAATTATCTAACAAACGTCTGTCTCAAAAAGATATTCGGAGCGATCTGTGAGAACGGAATATGGAGGCGTAGATATAACTTTGAACTGCAGAATATCTACAAGCATACGTTTGATGGTAAAGATATTACCACTATAATTAAGCGACACCGCCTGCAGTGGTCAGGACATGCAGCCCCTAAATCAAACATGATAAAAAAGATTCTAACAGCGCAACCCTTGGGAATGAGACGACGGGGTAGACCAAAGCTGAGGTGGATGGATGGGGTAACACAAGATGCGAAGAAGATCGGAGTCGGCAACTGAAAAATGCAAGCAAGTGACAGGACAGAATGGCGTAAAAAGTTTGAGAAGGTCGAGGCCCTCTAAGGGCTGTAGTACCAAGATGATGATGATGATGAATAATTTCAACTCTTGATTTCCTGCTTATAGGGCTGATGAGTTATAAATTGTTTTTTTAGGCTTATTTGATTGATTTTTAATTAGGTTTTGGGTGGTCATGACCCCCGTGACCCCCATCTCCTGGATCTGCCACTGGACTAGTAAAAATCTCGATCAAAAAGAGACGAAAAATTTACCACAATTTTTTTTGTTAAGAACTGAAAAGATAGAAGGACAAAAACGATCAGTTACTGCTACTATACTTACCACATCGGGTAATTTGAACTCCCCGTACAAACAATTCTGGCCATCTTTCTTCTTGTACATTCTATAAACGGGCTCTCTAACTACATTTTCCGTGGAAGATAATGTTTCTATCAGATTTTTCTTGGGCAAGTTTTGATCTCCAACGTTAGGAAATATGGGAGTTTCGTTTTCGTTTGCCTCTGCCATTTTCTGCTGTATTTCCCGGTCTTGTATCCTATGCATTTGAAGAGTCCCAAAACATTTTTTGTTTTTTAAAATAATTTTCTCTTCTACGCATTGTATATTGTATTTGTCTTGAATACCGTGAAATACAATGGCAAGAAAGAAGTTTTTAAAGGTTGTTATTTCCACGACCTTTTTGTAAAACGAGGGATTAATAGCGACATCGCAAACTTTGGCATTTTCTCCCTTTTTATCGCTTTCCGTTCGTATCTCGCCAATGCTCATAGGCACGCGGTAATCCCCGGGTTCATCGGATTCTAAAATTTCCTGCAGTTCCGTCGCTGTTATGTCTTTCGGTGGTGGAATGGAATCTGTTTGGCAGATGTTGATGAAAATTTTGGATTTTTCATCGACTTCCCTGGTTTTGATACAAAATCCTGAAACAAACAAGGTTTTATTATACTGATTTAATCCAAATTTATTTTAAGTGATAATCATAGATAAGCGCTGTTTACAAATTGGTGCCAATTCAATATGTTAAGTACTACTTGACAAAATTCAATTTGTCCTTGAGATTAGCAAACAGAACTGTACTAAATACGACAGATATGTTATATAGGGTGATTGGTTAATGACAATGTTTTATTCATTCATATTCATTATATCTATAGTTGAGAATCAAATTTGTATGTAGTAGATTCTCAGAAATGTGAATGCGATAAAGCGACATCGTTGCCAGTTTTTGATGATATAAACTTGCGTGTATAGAAATCGGCCCACTGTAAACTTTTGACTTTAACTATATTTTTTTCAAGAAATATTCATCAGATCACAAAAACAAATATACTGTTTGAAAGACAATTTAATACTGCTTTAATGTGAGTATAAATTTATGAAAACTTATTTCGGCTTCCTATGTTTAACATAGTGAAATGAATTCATTAAGCAAATTAAGCTTTTTTATTATTAACATAAATAGGGTTATTGACAATTTAAAACTTAACACTTAATTTTTTAATAATGGGTATGACCTCCTCTTGCCCTAATAACATCTCTCATACGATTAGGCATAGATCTAATCAAGTTTGCTATTGTTGCTTGTGGATGTTAAGCCACTCTTCTTCTGCTGCAAGAATAAGCTCTGGGATCGAGTCTGGGGTATGAAGTCTAGCTCGAATTCTTCGTTTTAGCTCATCCCATAAATGTTCGATCGGATTTAGGTCAGGACTGTTTGCTGGCCAGTCTATAACCTGAAAACCGACTTCTGCAATGTAATCTTGCACGATTCTTGCGGTGTGTGCCCTTGCATTGTCATGCATAAAGATAAATTCGTCTCCAATGTAGTCGACGTAAGGTACCACATGAATTGCTAAAATCTCCTCGATATATCTGGCAGCCGTTAAACCTCTTCTTCCGTGAACACGGTCGTCCCTACGAATGAACTCAAGATCGGTTCGTGCTCCTATAGAAATTGCACCCCAGATCATGCAGGAACCACCCCCATAAGCACTCCGCTCTTCAAAGCAGCATTCTGCAAATCTCTCTCCTGGTCTCCGGTACACTTTCCTTCTTTGGTCGCTACCATAGAGGCATATTTTGGTCTCATCTGAGAACAGAACAGATCCCCATTGTTCCAACGTCCAATGCCGATGATCCTGTGCAAAACGCAGGCGTGCTTGCCGATGAGCTGGAGTAAGTTTTGGACCAATGGCAGCTGTTTTAGGGGTCAGGTTATTTTCCCACAGTCTTCGTCTCACTGTCCACTGACTAACAGCCACTCTTCGCACCTCAAGGAGCTGTCGTTGCACGTGAACGGCATTAAGGTGACGATTTCTTAATGTTTTTGACACAATAAAGCGGTCATCACGAGCGGTTGTAAATCGCCGTCTGCCTGTTCCAAGTCGACTATGAAAGGATCCAGTCTCCTCATAACGTTGGCACACTCTTCGAACCGCTGCGCGTGTCATATCCAATTGTCTAGCAACAGCTCGCTGACTAAGTCCATTTTCGATTAGAGCAATAACTTGGGCGGCTTTTTGTGGTGTAGTATGCATTAAACTAACACACTTGAACACTGCTGAGATTATGAAAAACGAATAATATGCAAATTTCACTTGCAAAGGCAATACTTTTACAATTAGACAAATTTGTTATGTTGTGTGACAATCACCACATAAACACGTTTCATTTGTTTACCGGTTACTACGCATGTAAACGATAAGCCTTCTTGATAAATTTATACTCACATTAAAGCATATTAAATTGTCTTTCAAACAGTATATTTGTTTTTGTGATCTGATGAATATTTCTTGAAAAAAATATAGTTAAAGTCAAAAGTTTACAGTGGGCCGATTTCTATGCACGCAAGTGTATATTCTAGCAATTTTTATTTTAATCATTCACATGCATCAAAATTCTTCTTCTTTTTGATGTGCCTATCCGTTACGAATGTTGGCGATCATCATGGCAATTTGTGAAAGTACATTAAATAGTTTGACAAAGTGGCAACACAGCGGGAGTGGCAATACGTGACTCAGAGGCCATTGTTTGTCAGTGCTGTCCAGCCTAGCTTGCAACTCGTGTGCATTATATTCTGTATTCTAGTGTTTAGAGTTATAATAAATAGTTTTCCTATGCTCTCTAGTGATATTCTGATAGTCGTATACCACCTTTTGTGAATTTAGTTACACCAGTGGTACCAGAACATTATGGGAAAAGCCATGGACGTATAAACACAGATGGACTCAGTTATTTACATAAAATTGTGAAGTCAAAATTATTTGAATAGGTCACATTCTGAGCACCTTCAACTGTTGTCACGTTTTGTTTTAAAATTTCTTATTCGCGAGTCGCTGAAAATATTACTCCGTATTTTATACTCTACAGGTGCTATCAAACCAAAATAATAATTTATTGGTTATATTAATATATTTAATTGTAATCAAAATATCAAATGTGCACATAGTGTGCATTATCATTTAATAATAGCGTATAATAGATATCAATCAATTATTTTATATGTAGAAGCACTGAAAACTATTTATAAATGGCAACGGTTGTTTACATTTCTCTGTCTTATGGATCTACGTCAAACTTCAAATGCTGTTCCATGTTTGTTTACTTTTTACAGTAAATGAGGAAAAAGTTATTTTTCGATATTTTGGCTGTATTTTGAGTGATATTTGTGAAAAGTGAAATAAAATAAACGAAATATTTACATTATATAAGATGAGGAAATGAGGAAGCGTGTTTGTTTACATTTTAATAGGCGTACCATTGGGTTTATTCATGTTCATTAATGTATTCAATAAGATATGAGTTCATGAAATTAGTAGACATTTATAAATTGTAAGTAGACATCATCTGATTAAAAAAATCTGTTTAGTACCTTTTTAATTTAATATTTCTCATGGATACAAATAAATTAGTGAAATGAATAAAACTCATTTATTTTTCTATGTAGGTTTCCAAATAATATTGAGGATCGAACTATTTGGGTAGCAAATTAAGGATAAAACATAAAGATTTTTTATTGTAGCATTATTTTGATACTATTAAAAAATTAACTTGAATTCAACTATATTTAATTGTATTAATTTTAAAGCAAATACAATTGTATTTTAATATTTCTATAAAGACGTGATTTGTTAATAGTTAAACTCTCGTTTTTTTTTTTAATTCTTTGAACGTGTTTTTATACATTACTACTACTTCCAATTTTTAAAATCTGAATAATTACCCGCGAGTAAAAATTCAAGGACGCTTATGCTCATTGCGGAAGCATCACAGTCTATGGAAGCTTCAAAACATTGTGTGTTAAAGGTATCTTATTGCTGTATCCATCTATGTTTATACGTCAATGGGAAAAGCCAAAAACTTCTTACCAAGGAAAATAGCAGAAATAAAAACTTTATTACTGAACACTAATCACTCCAACAGTTTTCTATTTCAAATTTCTAAAGTTTCAAGGGCAATTGTGAACCATTTAAAGAAAAAACTTGGCGAAAATTTGGGACCAGAAACGCAAAAAAATGGGGTCAAAAAAAATTACAACACCACGAGATGACAAAAAAATTTGAGATATTGTCTTGGTGTTTGTAGGTTATTTGGTTCACATTATTAGTTATAAGTATATTAAGTTTGTGTTTAAAAGGAAAACGACTGCAAGATAATTTTGATTTTTTGAATATATCTGCCCCGGACCCATGCCCGGAGAAAACAATTCATCCACCAGCGGCAAGGGGCCGCCGAATGGTAATTTTAATAAAGATAGTTGAGTCAACGTTCTTGTTGAGGATATCATTGTACCTGAAGATATTAATATGAGTTCATGTATAAACAATAAAAATAATAATCAATTAAATGAATTATCTAGTACAGATACACTCGACAAAGATACACAAGACGGAATCCGACAAAAACTCGTTTATTAAATCAATTAACAAATAGATTTAAACCTAACGATTTGGGACCGTTTCATGTTTTTGTTGAACATTTAGAATTAAATATTGGGAGATTACATCCAATGAAATTGGGTGAAAAGTTAATAAATCTAAGAGTATGATAAAAATATTATTGAAATTAGTACGGTTGGTCGCAATCGTATAAAAATCGAACTAAATTCGGGCAGTATTGCCAATAAGTTAGTTAAAGATCCATTCTTTGAAAAAAATAATTTACTGGCATATATTCCTAGTCATCTTATAGAAAAACGCGGGTGAGTCCGATCTGTAGATACTTCCTACAGCGAGGAGGCCCTCCTACAAATGATTAATTCTAGAGTACCTATCAAAAAAGTAAAACGCATGACTAGAGTTATCCAAAAAGACAACAATATGGAACGTGTTCCTCGCCAAATGATCATTGTTACGTTTGAAGGAAAACTTATTCCTCAATTTATTTATATTAACAAAGTTATAGTGCTCTGTAGAAACTTATATTAATCCAGTTATGCAATGTTTTCGTTGTCTCCGATATGGCCATTCCGGCTCATAGTGTAGGCGAAAGAAAAGGTGTAGAAATTGTGAGTCAGAAAATGAATCTGTTGCGAAGCATGCAAAATTTCTTGTGTTTATTGCAAAAATAATAGTCACAATTCTACTTATAAGGAGTGTCCTGAATTTAAAAAGCACACTAGAGTCAAAGAAGCTATGTCTAATTTGAATATATCTTTCAAAGAAGCTGAAAAAATTATTAACAATCCGGCCTATTCTAGCCTCATACAAAAAATTTTCTCCATTAATTGTTTCGGATATAGAATTTCGTGCTTTAAAAACTTCTACAGCACAACATCCTGTCCCTAATACTTCTTCTAAATCAAACTTTCGGTCAACACATGATCAACCATCTTCTCCTAAACCATTGCCAAAAAAAACTAGTGATTCTTCTCCCAATTTCCCACCCATTAGACGAGAATATAATACTAACTTTTGTGCAG